AAAATCTTCACTATTGCTATTGGTGCATGTTCACAAATTGGACTCGTGGAAAAATGTAAATCTGTTGTTGATCGAATTCCTATACATATACAAAATCAACAAGTTATACAGAATGTATTGATCGATATGTGGGTAAGAACATTTTTTTTTCTTGCAACAAGGATGTTTTTCAACTAAGCAACTGTTTTAATTTTTATGTAATTTTTCAGTATTTCATTTGAAAAATATACTTCTATAAATGCACAACTCGAGGAGTTCTCATAAGTTTTGAATTTCAACTGTTCAATTCTTAAAATTTATAATTCGAATCCTTTAGTTTTCAACTTTTGATCCCTACGAGGTTCTAGAATGAATGTTCTTCGGAAGTCTAGCCAACAGTCTGGGTCTGAAGAGGTTGTTGAGATGGACTGTATGTGATTACTTTGTCTATGATGAACGAATCTTCGGAAAGTCTATAAGAATTCGAAAGGAATTCACTATTGTTTCTGTGTGAATCTCAAAATGATTTCCATGAGGGTCTAGAGGACTTTTTTATCAGTGCTTCGTTGAATTCTCTATAGATTGAAAAAAAAATTTCTCAAGATCCTTTGGGATCTGATGAAAGATTCTTGAGCGATCGGATAGAGACTTCTCAAGAAATTCTTTCAATTACTACATGGAACCCGTGGATATCAACCAAAAATCAGTATCGATGTCACAAAAACTCAGAAACTTCAGTTGGAGATCGGCTTTCTTGTTGTAGAGAACGTTCCAAGAGTATCGTAACAATCTGCATTTAATGTTCGAGTCTAAATTGAGACTACTCAGCTGTTGATATTAGTGCCCGTGAAATGTGCGCGCAGCCTACCTATAGAATAAACATAGCATATTTATAGAGGTGGATTAAACTATTCTAAACGCTAGTGGCTGAAGGTACTTCATAAGATCTCTACACGAGAAAGGATAGATAAACAAAGTATAGCAAGTCAAGTAGATCTGAACGAACTGAAACTTGATAAAAAAAACTTTAAATATCATAGTAAGTTAAATGTTTCTACTTACTTAAATCAGAAAAAGTAGTCTCACCGACATTTATCTAAAACCTTTATCATCGCTTTTTATACTGAATTTAAAAAAAGTAAAAGCCAAAAAATAAGAACAAAAACAAGGGAGAGAAAATGTTGCACGTATAAAACAAAATCGTTCTCTTTACAAAAAAAAACGGAACTTCTACTTTGTTTTTGAACTTGAACATATTTGAAAAAAAACTTTAGACGGTTTATGTTAATCATGAATTTATAATGATCTAACGCTATTGAAGAATAAAAAATGGAAAACATTTCAAGTAGATTTAACATTCGATATAAAAAACTTCTCTACCTAAAGAAAAATATTTTAGAATCCAAAAACTTGTCGAAATATTTCTTAATGAAGGCCAAAACTCTTGATATTTTTGAGAGAAAATTATTACAATAATGTATCTCACATGCAGAGATTGAAATTATCAAATTTATTTATTTTTCTTTAAACATAGGGCAAAGCTGGTTCCGTCGACAAAGCAGAAAATATTTTCAAATCGATTACTCATCACAATATAATAATACATAGTTCAATGAGTGAGTATAGTTATGTTTCTTGAAATTTATCTCAATTATTTTTGTTTTTGTCTTTGGCAGTTAATGCTTATGGACTTAATGGAATGGGATATGAAGCTGTTGAACTATATAAACGAATTCCAAACGATGAAAGAGATGAAATTTCACATATATGTGTTTTAAATGCTTGTTCTCATTCTGGCCTTCTTGATGAAGCTCATAATATCTTCAATCGAATTCATACTAAAACAGAAAAGATTATAACAACTATGGTTTGTTAGTTTGCTGAATTAATTATTCAAAGTATTACTATTTTCTTTAATTATTTAGGTTGACTGTTTGAGTCGTTTGTTTTTATTTGATGAAGCACAAAGTTTGATTGATAATTATGAAAAGATGAATCCACCAAGTATTATTATGTATAGTAAGTACCTATCAAACAACAATAATTTGTCGTGACAAGTTCGAAAATTTTGTTTTTTTGTATGTATTTCTGTACGAATGAATACTAAAATCTTGAATATTTTGTTGAACAATTCAGAGTTGAAATTACTACAAACTCCTAAAAATCTAAACTTAAAGCACACGAGCTAAATCTTTTAAGAAGTCGGATAATACAAGTAATTGTACTTACTCTATATCATAGAAGTATTCATTTCAATTGATTTTTTTTTCCCATATGAATGAATATATGATATTGAAAACAGAATTCGACTTTGAATAGCTCTTCTAAATATCTGTTAATTGTGGATATTTATTCGAACTTTTCTATAGATACGCTTGTTTATTTATTTGTTTAATAGCATTTTTTTTTGAAAGTTCAATTTTTTGAGAAAGGCGATATTTTCTCTGTTGGTAAGTTGTTTTGAAAAAAAAAATCCGACAAATATCGTCCATATATAGAATACGTTCATTTGATAACATTCAATTTCGTGTTTTATAAAAATATTGATTTTTTGATGTTTATATTAAGTTTCATAGAAGTTTATACGAAATTTAATGATACATCATTCAGATGAAACTTCAAGATGTTATGATTTATTTTTGTTGAGATATTTGTAATCTAAGTACTGTTCAAAGTTATTCGGTAGACCCGCTTTATTTTGAAGAATTATTTCGTTTGTTATGTATTTCAGTGGCTATGCTATCCGGTGCACGTAACCATCGTAATCGTCAATTAGCTGAAAAGATATATGATCGTATGAAATCTGTCTTTCCTGGTGAAAAACAATCTCTTCTATCCGGTGCAATTCTTCTCTCAAATATATATTCTTCATTCGGTGAATATGAACTGGCAATGGATATTCGATCTAAACAAAAAAATGAATTAGGAATAAACATCAAAGTCGGAGTAACATGGACAATGGCCAATGGTGAATTAGTGGTAAAATATATTATCTTAAAATATTAAAATAATATAAAAAATAAAATGAAAACCAATTTTTATTCATTCAGGAATTTAAAGCTCATGATATGTCTCATCCACGATCATCAGAGATCTATGCTGAACTTGATCGTTTAGCATTATTATTACTTAAGCATGGTCATACGTTTGATTCAAGTTGGATAACTCGTAAACTTGATACATATGAAAGTATTCAATCGGTTTTATGTGGTCATAGTGAAAAATTAGCCATTGCTTTTAATTTAATTCAACGACCTATACCATCAACCATTCAAATTACAAAAAATCTTCGTATATGTGGTGATTGTCGTAAGTTTATTTTGCTCACATCGTTACTTTTCAATAATCACTGTATTAATTCTCTTTTCAGATCAGGTCACAAAATTAATTGCAAAAATACACCAATGTCATATAATTGTTCGTGATGCTAATCGTATCCATCATTTTTATCCAAATGGAAAATGCTCTTGTCAAGATCATTTTTAATGTGTTAGAACTTTACTATGAACAATCAACGTATTAGTAATCATTTTGTTTTTTTCAGAGTAAAAAAAAAAACAAAGTTCCAAAAGATATTTTTTCATCTTCTATTTAATATGAACCAAAAATCATTTCAAATGAATCGTTTTTTTTTATTTCTTCGTTTGAAATTCATCTATGATTCGTTTATGTTATCGTTTAACATCAACAAATTTTAGTTTAACAAATCGTGATCGAAAACGTTTTTATAAAAAAGTATCTGTTGTTGAATCATCACAAATACCAACAATATATGAAATATTACTTGATCAACAATAAATTAAAAACACCATTAGGTAATATAATAGAAAGTTGAAAATGAATTACTTGCATTAGCAATTGCACAAAAATGAAATCAACAATATAAAAAAAATTGATTTATCATCAATGCATTTATATTCTTTGATGAATACATTAATATTAACTAAAAATCAACTTATAGAAAAATTAATGTATTTTCTTGATTGGGATACATTACTTTATCGTTCAGATCAACCAGAAGAATTTCAACAATTACAAATTAAACATTGAGATCCTATTTTATTATATATTAAAGAATAATTTCATACTTAAATTTTGATCAATCATTAATAAATATTATTTTATTTATTGTTGAACAATTAAAATCTATATTATTAACTATTTGTTTATTAAAACAATATCGTACAATAGAAAATATTTCAACATTATTAAGACTTGAAACAGAATTTCAAATATTACGTTGGAATAGTGTTGAATATTATCATGATCATGAAATGATAGATACACG